AAATGTAGACTCAGATTGGGCTGCTTTACTGAAAAGACAAGATTCTGTCTCAGGTGATGTCTCTGAGCTGCTTTTTCTTTCTTCTCGCAGGAGGCTTCCCCCTGTAATGTTTTAAAATGTAGACAGACTATTGGCATAGATGCTCCCACATCTGAGCCAGAGATGTTTAGAGGGAGATAAGGCTGTCTCTGAGCTGGTGTGTGGGTGTGTGCCCCAAAGTCATGTCCTCTCTGCCTTTGTGTTGTAGGGTGTGAAGAGTGTAACAACGCACATCCCTCGGTGTGTCCAAAACATGGACCTTTGCATCCCATCCCAAACAGGCCTGTGCTGACCAGGGCAAGGGCCAGCCTGCCCCTGGTGCTCTACATAGACAGGTTCCTGGGAGGAGTGTTCTCCAAGAGGCGCATCCCAAAGAGGACACAGTTTGGACCTGTGGAAGGGCCCCTGGTCAGGCAAACTGAGCTCAAAGACTGCTACATCCATTTGAAGGTAAGGCCCTGTGTGTGTGAGGAGGGATCAGGTTGTTCCTGAGCTGTGATTTTCATGGATTTGTGAGTGACAAATCAGTAACTTCACTAGAGATGTTCTTTTGTTGCCTCAATCTCTGAATGGAGCTCAGAAATACCCAGATTGCTTTGGCTTCAAATCTGCTCTGTTGTTCAGGGAGGCACAATAATCCTGGTCAATGTTCTGGCATTATGGTGTTATGATGTATGGGGTGCATAACACAGGCTGTGAATCACTCTCACATGAGCTGAAGCAGCATCTGGACATAAAAATAGCAGCCCCATCTGAGGATGCTTTGCTGTCACTATTTTGTGCCATACTGTAACTTCAGTTCAAAATATTTTTCTTCCCTTTCCCTCCTCTTCCCCATAAGATGTAGAAGAGAGGAGAGATTTTCCTCCCCTGCCTCATGCCAAGTCATTTGGATTTGACTGGCTTTTATCCATCTAGTCACTGGTTTTGTTCTAGAAATTGGTCCTTTCTTTGCTCACAGTGTTAGGAGTGCTCTGATGGTCAGTGTCTGACAAACAAGTTGTGGCTATAGGCAAATTCAGCAGCCCAAGAGAAGTTCAACTAACGAAGTGCTGTTTCCAGCTTGAGGCAGTGTCATGAGTCAAGAACTGAAAGGAGAAGTGGGTCTGCCTGTAAGAAACATCTGACTGATGTTTCTATAGCCTACTGAAGCTACAGCTTCTTGTGCCTCATTTATAGCCACATGTACATACTGTGCCTGACCCTGCTGATGAATGCTCCTTGCTCTTGAAAGCCTTGGAAGGGTCTATTGTGTCTCCCTAGTTAGATCTCTACCCATTTAAAAGTATTTTTCCAAGTGCTGCCTGTTTCTGGATCTGTTAGTCAAGAGAGAATATTAGCAAGGCCTTCATTGCTCCCTGCTGTAACAGTTAATGGGCACAGTGGTTTTCTTAGAAACTCAGATTCTTTTGAAGCTCCTGCCAGGCAGTGACAGTCAATGTAATTGGATTTTGCTACAGGTTTCTCTTGATAAGGGGGACAGAAAAGACAGAGATTTGCAGGAGGACCTGTGGTTTGAACTCTCCAGCGAGGCTCTGTGTAACTGGATGATGTTTGTGCGTCCAGCTCAAAACCACCTGGAGCAGAACCTGGTGGCCTATCAGTATGGTCACCACATCTATTACACCACCATCAAAAACGTGGAGCCCAAGCAGGAGCTCAAGGTATGGCATTGCTCCTGTGTCAGGACTCTTTTTCTTTTTTTTCCCCCTACTGATTAAATCATATCTTAGCAGTTGTTGCCTCATAAGTGCATCACCACATGCCAGAAATGATTGGTGTAAATAGTTCTAGGGCTTTTTTCTCTGATGGCCTCAATTAAACTTCACCCAAATCAGTGAGCAGTTAGCCACTGACTGAGGGATTTTAATGAGCTTTGCCTCAGGTAGAAAATGAGGAAGTTGAAAATCAAGCCATGTAAATGATTTTTCTCTCACTGTCCTGTTTTGCACTACATGTATTTCCATAGACTCAGTTAAGGAGTTGGAATGGACCTTAAAGATCATCTAGTCCCATGGGCAGGGACACCTCCCACCAGACCAGGTTGCATTTTGCTGATGCAGTGGCATTTTTATTGCAGCAGTGTTAGTCTCTTTAGCTCTGGGTGCCCATTCCAGTTAGTCCTGTGTGCCTTAAGTGAATATGGTTTCTCCCTTTACCTGGCTTTCCTGTGTGGAACTTAGCATGTGGAAAGGGATAAAGGATATTGTGACTCCCCTGTGAGTTACTTTTTGTTCCCTCTGGGCTCAAAGCAGCAAGGCTGGCTGAGATTGGCCTTTGTTTTCAACATCTTTTGGGTAACCAAAAAGCTTCAATATCAGGAAATTCTTTGTTCTTCTTCAAGTCACTTCTTATATGTAAACTTTGAGATTTTTAACCCTCCCCAAAGTGCTTTAAACACACTTAGCTAAACCAGGGCAAACCCTGTTCATGCACTTGTTGCTGATTCTTGAGAGTTTGCTTTCTCTGAAATCAGTCCTTAAGTTTAAGCTGAATCACTTGAAATCTTATGGAGACATTTTAAGTCTATCTAAATGTCATTTTCTCAACAGTTTTTAAATCAGTTTGAAATCAGCCTAGAAACAGAACTGCCTGTAGAGCACCATTTTCTTGCTTTGTGTTAATAATGCCTTTTGGGGTACAGTTGGTTTGATAACAGAAGGCCAATTACTGAGGATTGGTAATGTGATTTCCTCCCCAAGTGATGTAGAGCATTCCTATAGATTGTGCCCAGAGATTGGACTGAGAGGATCAGTCAGTTCAAGCTGGGAAGTTCTGCATTTCGTGCCAGATGAGCAGTCCAGGAGCTCCAGGCTTTCCTCTTTGCCCAGCCAGTGAGATTCCTGCAGAGGAACCCACACCTGTTTGTGAGTCTGTGCAGTGCTCTCACCACTGCTGTGGAAATAAATGCCTGTGGCCACTGCAGGTTTGAACTGGCCTGGATTTCTCATGCTGGAAATCCCTTCATGCCTTCTTTGAGAAATCTCTTCTGAAACTGACCCTTGGTAACCAACCAGATGAAATGATGCTGAATTCTCAGCTAAACATGAGCATCTGCTTTCAGGCTTTAATGACCTTTGCCTTCCTGCCTCTCGTGGCTGTCTCTGCTGAAGGCTGCTTGAATCCCTCCTGCAGCACAATGGGCCCATCATGCTGCCTCCTGGCAGAGCTTTGGTTTGGGAAGCAGGACCATATTGCTCCAATCCTCTGGAAGCTCAGAAACATTTTAAATGAGGCTTCGTGGGCAGTGCTGTTTTTTGTCTATGTAAAGGGAGCAGGAAAAAATGGGAAATCCCCTGAATTAAAAACTTTTCCATCTCACAGTGCTCTGCTAACATCCTTCCCATGCAGCCAGCTCTGAAGAGATTAATCTTATTTCCTCTAGAGCTCCTGGTAGCCATGTGCAAGATTAACATTCATGTAAGGAGGCCAGACCTTAAAATTAAATGGATATGCTTCCTGAGCAAAGCTCTTCTATTCCTCAGTGGGGGCGTATTGATCTCACCAGGCTTTATTATTGAGGCTGAAAGGAGCAGTAAGAGTTAGTGGTTGAGGCAAGTGAAGTAAATGTATGGTTTAAAAACCATTTCCAGAGGAATTCCCTTGAGTTCTGGCTCCACCTCAGTGTTCTGTCCCCCTGTATCCCTGCTGCAGGTGTGGTATGCTGCCTCCTACGCCGAGTTTGTGAATCAGAAGATCCATGACATATCTGAGGAGGAAAGGAAGGGTAACTTGGGCTCTTCTGCTCTCAGTGTGGTGGTGGTTGGGTGTTGGACTTCTTAGTTTTCAGTACATGGCCTGTGTAGTGCTCCCAGATTCCTGCTAGGTTAGGGAAGGTTAAACCAGAGCTAGACTGTGTTATTGGGAGTTATTTCCACTAACTCTTCTTGTGCTCTATTGCAATAATCTAACCTTTTGCCTCGGTTTCTGGGAAGCATTAGTTGCTGCTGGAAGAGGTATGTTGCTGAACTCCATGTCTAATGTTCTGTGTCCTAAACTGATGTGTGACTGCTTGAGATTGAGAAATTTCTCTTGATCTCCCCTAACTTGTGCCAGAGACACAATCCTGTAGGTGCTGTTCCATCCAAAAGTGAATGTCAGCATCTCCCTGAATTTTTAGCAGGGTTGATAATCCATGTGAACTGTCCCCAGTGACCTTTCCTGTGATGAGCTATGGTCATGGCATGATGCAGAGGGGATAAAACCAAAGCCAAGTGGAGCAGTACTGGCTATTCTGCAGTCAGAGTAACCTTCAGGGGAGAAATATGGCCCTCAGAGGACAGAAAGGCTTGGGGGGGAAAAATGAGGCATTTAATTGGTGGTGACTGAAATGCTGTTGTTGACATTTGCGATTGGCCATAGTTCTCAGGGAGCAGGAGAAGAACTGGCCCTGCTACGAGTGCAATCGGCGTTTCATGAGCTCAGAGCAGCTCCAGCAGCACCTCAACTCCCACGATGAGAAGCTGGACTTCTTCAGCAGGTACTCACAGCTTTAGCTTTGCCTCTCTCACTGTGCTGCTGCCCCAAACCTGCAGCAAGGAGGGGCTTTGCCCTACAGATCTTACTGGCCAACTCATGAGAGAACAGCTCAGCACCAGAAGGTAAGGGTATGGCACCTGGCAGCTGAGCAGTGTAAGAGACTGAAAAAACCAGCCTGAAGGAAATAAATACTCTGTTGTAACTGGTGAGGGGGTTTGTTGCTTTGCTTTTGGGTTTTTTTGCCAATGACTTACTAAGTTACAACATTTCAATACCACAGTGTTGAAATACTGATATTTCTCAGAGGTCTGCAGATCCAGAACTTGGAGAACAAGACTTCTGCTGCTTTGGCTCCTCGTTGGGCTGGCAAAGTAGTTTATCCTGATCTATTAAAACCTGAATCCACCAACATCCATCAGAAACCAGAAGACATTGGTGCCTCCTTTCTCCTGAAACTTAGCAAGTGGCTACATTGTGTTTTGGGGTTTTTGACACATAAAATTGTTCTCTTCTGTTTGCTGCCTGACATCAATGGCTAAGTGCTTTTTGAGGAGAGATGTTATGGCTTCAGATTTTCAATTGGTTTCCTTGTGCACTTGTTCATGTAGCTGGAAATGTTTCCAACACACTGTGTGCCAGGGTGTGGGATGTGGGAGAGGTGCCATGGCACAGGGCTTGCTAGAAGCCAGTAGTGCTCTCAGTCCCATGATTACTGAGACAAATTTTAATGTGTTTTGGACTTTGGTTTCTCAAACCTATTGGTTTTGCTGCCAGTATATCTTCAGGTCTTAGTTACTGCAGCCCATTGGTGCCGAGTCGAACGGGTGAACAGTGATGCTGAGAAAGAAGCGTAAAATCCAAGTGGAGATTCCAAGTGCATCTCTTGTTGTCTCTAACCTGGAGCACTCTGTGTTCTGCAGAGCCAGAGGCCGAGGCCGCGGGCGAGGGAAGAGGAGGTTTGGACCAGGCAGGCGCCCGGGACGTCCTCCCAAATTCATGCGCATGGAAGCAACCAGTGAAAATGGAGAGAAGTGTGAAGAAGGGACACAGGTATATCTTTGGAGATGGAGAGGAGTTAAAAAGAATACCACATGGGATGTAAAAATATCTTGACTCAAGGAATTTGGGGCATCAGTGTAAACTTAGGGTGTGCTTTGGACTTCTACCCAAGTAATTTCTGTTTCCTAGCTGTGATTCTCTGTCAGGAGAGCTCACTGCTTCCCTTCCATAAAACCTGTAAAATCCCTGGCATTTCTACAGCATGTTTCATCCCAAAGCACTTAGCAGTGAGGTAGGTTATTGCAGCAGTTTAGCAGCATCACAGAAGTAATTTAGACAGTAAAACTGTAATGGGAATTTAGGTTCCTATTTGTCCTTTCTGGAATGTGAGGTCAGCCTGCTCTTAGAACTGTTGCTGGTAGAATTAAATCAGTTTGAGATATGATTCTCTACCATGTTTTAATATTAGCAGAAGAGCCTCCTGTAGGCATGCTGATTACAAACTGCTCTTTTCTTTGTGGCCCTGGGTTATTTTCTGCAGGGACCCAATGTGATGCACAGAAGTAAAACGCTGAATTCTCTGGTGCTGACCATGCTTAGGTTACCACTAAGTCCTTTTATGAGCAGTGTCAGAAGGGATCAGTGCTCTGGTTTATGACTTTGCTGAAAGCTGATATCTGGAGTGGTAATTTTCCTCTGGCATTTCACTGGGTCATGGCTCCATGCTGACTCAGAGGGAGGAATGTATATGCTGCCTATGAGTTCCTGCTGCATTGCCCTGAATGCTGCATTAAGTGCAGGCAGTTGGGAGCTCACCCTCTCTGCAAGCTGACATGACAGCTCCACTTACACAATGCTGCTCCCAAACCCTCAGCTCTGGGGAGACAGAGCTTACTGGGCACAGTCCCACACTAGTGGGTGTGAATGGCCCCTGGGTCCTGCCAGCTTGGAGTGTGGCCCAGCGCTGGCTCACGTGTGCCTGTGCAGTGCAGCGGGGCCATGGTGATGTCCCAAGCCCTTGGAGCTCTGCCCACCTCACTAATGGCCAGGCACGAGTTCTGCCTCAGGACTTGAGAGTCAGGATGCTGTGAGCACAGCTGAGTGTCAGCAAGGATGGAAATTTGCCATCCAGGCCTGGGCTGGACATTTGGCTGGTGTGTTGTTCTGCTAAGTGTCTCTATCTGGTAAGCATTCACAGTCTGCACTTCTTCTGGCACCCTGGTTTTCTTCTCTCACACCCACTTTTGTGCTTTGACAGCACCAGGCCTGAGCTGACAATAATTCTGGTGCTCTGTTTCCTAGCTTGTGCTTTCAAGTTTCCTTACTTGCATTAAGTGGTGTCAAGTAAGGATCTGTGTGTGTTTTTCTTGTAATATCAGAGGATTTCATCCCAGAGGAGTTATTGCAACTTACAGAGAAAGAATGTAGATTTTGGCATGTGCTTCCCACTGCCAACACCTCCCTTTTCTTTTATGCTAATGCAAAATAAAAAAAAGGAGGAAAACAGCTTTGTGTGATAAATGTTAGTGATGTATGCATTTGGTGGATGAGTGTGCAGAGCTGGAAACAGGGTGGAAAAACACACAGTGCACAGTGTAATCACCTCGTTTGTCACTCTCCAGTGCAGCACTCAGCCAGTTTGTTAGAAAGGAGAACACACTGCATAACTACACATGATAATGGTTCAAAGTGAGACCAGGTTCCATGAGACAGAGATTCTCTGCTTGCCCTGGTCTGTGCTAGTCACTTGGGCTGTGAGGTTTCTCACAGGTCATTCTGTGTCATCTTTGGTTAAAGCAGAAATAGTCATGAGTGCAGAACAGCCTTCCTGGCTGTTCACAGCTGGATAATTTTCATTGTCTGTGGCTGATCCCTCCCTCAGGAAGGGCAGTGCAGTGGCAGCACTGACCTCTCTGGCAACCAGTGACAGAACCTGAGGGAACAGCTGGAGCTGTGTCAGGGGAGGGTTAGGTTGGATATTAGGAAAAGGTTCTTCCCACAGGGGGTGGTTGGGGACTGGAACAGGTTTAGGTTGGATATCAGGACAAGGTTCTTCCCCCAGAGGTGTTTGGGCACTGAACAGCTCCCCAGGGCAGTGGGCACAGCCCCAAGGCTGACAGAGCTCAGGGAGTGTTTGGACAGCACTATCAGGCACAGGGAGGATTGTTGGGGTGTCCTGTGCAGGGGCAGGAGTTGGACTCAGTGATCCTCATGGGTCCCTTCCAGCTCTGATTCTTCTGTGATCACACACCTGTTGCCCCCAGAGTCACCTACCTGCAGTGCTGCTTCCCTGGTGCTGAGTGTTGCTGCTGTAGGTGAAGGTGATGTGCTGAAGGCACCAGTGGACACAGCAGGAGAGTGTTAGTGCAGTCACGGTTTGCTATAAAGCTTGTGATTAAAAACATCGAGATCTTGTTGTCTGCTGAGTGTTCTCCCAGCCTCTGTCAGTGGGTGGGGGGAATAATCACTGGTTGTATGGTTTGCGATTTCAGGACTTGCTGCATTTTTCCAGCAAGGGGCAGTTTGAGGAGGCTGGACAAGGCGCCCTGAACGGGCTGGAGCAGCAGGAACAGACTCCGGTGCCGCCGGAGCCGCCGTCGGCACTGGAGCAGCAGCAGCAGGAGAACCACCACACGCTCCAGGTGCAGCCACAGCACGAGGAGAGCACAGTGCCCACGCAGAGCACCATGACAGCAGATGACATGAGGCGAGCGAAGCGCATCAGGGTGAGCACAGAGCGCGGCACATCTCACCCTCTCCATTCCCTGCGACCCAGGGAATGCCAGAGCTGCCTGCCAGGACCAGCTGGGCTTTCTCTGCCTGCCCTTTCCATTTCCGAACACTCCATAAAGCAGCTCGTTCTGAGCAGTTTTCTTTGCACTGAGGAAGACAGATCTCGTGTAAAGCAGCTCAGTCCTAGCAGCTTTATTAGTTTCATAGTTTTATAATATGATAAGGGGTTGGGATGGAGCTTAGAGATGATCCAGCCCCAACCCCCTGCCCTGGGCAGGGACACCTCCCACCAGAGCAGGTTGCTCAAGGCTTTAGCCAACCTGGCTGTGAACACTGCCAGGGTTGGGGCAGCCACAGCCTCCCTGGGCAACCTGGGCCAGTGTCTCACCAAAGACTTCTTTGCACTGAGGAAGACAAATCTAATGTGAAGAACCAGTATCTCAGGAGATGCTAGTGAGAACTGGTCAGCAGTTGGAGCTGATTGAATTCCAGCACTGTAATTCCTCCATGGAAGCACAGTCCATCCCAGCTGGCAGGCAGGGGTGCCTCAAACAGCCGGTGGAGTCATGGTGCTGCGGCACAGACTAATGACTTGCTCACAGCACCATCTGTGTCTCTCGGAACTCTCTTTCAAATAGTTGCCAAAGAGGAACCACGACCTCAGTTTAGATCCACTTAGATGATGATGATGGTATTTAGTGATAAAATCCCTTTTCTGGGGTAGTAAAACCTGTGTTTGAGATCCAAACCTGTGCTGAGAGCTCTGTGTACTGACAGCAGCACGTTGAGCCTGAGCTCTGTGTCAACTGGGTGAGCTGTTTTTTCTCTGCTATGTGTGGGAGGGAAATGATTCAAGCAAATAATCCTTCAAGCTGTGTAACTGGGAGATTTGATTTATTTAGCCTAAAATCTTTTCCTTTTTCTTCCATGTGTAAAATTTGGATTAAAGAAAGGAACAGCTGCAGTGGGGTAAGAGCTCAGTTTTAGGGGATGAGAGAGGATTAGGAAGGAGTTAAGGAACTGTTCTGTAGAGAAGGATGTGGAGCTAAATTCTGCTCTCAGTTTAGAGCAATATGTATCTGAGACCAGTGGTGGTGGTGACACCACCACAGTGATGTGTCTCGAAGGGAGAATTTGGCTTGGGCGCATTAAGACTGCAGAGTTTTTAACCATCTCCAATGCTTGTGGTCTCTGAGTGGCAAGTTTCTACCAGTAATTTCATTTTCATACATGAAAAGCTTGGGGGATTTTTACTGAGTGTATCAAAGGGTGGATAATAGAGAACAGAGAGAGAGGCTGACTTGTTGGCAGTAAAGACCATGGGGATTTGCTGCTTACAGTGTGTACACATATTGTAAGTAAAAGTTGAGGCCTGGCTATGATGTGAAGAAAAATTACTGCCTGTTTCCCTGAACTTCTGAACCCAAGATGTAAACTTAGGATCTCCTTCAAGAGGAAATGTGAGAAGAAAGGGACAGAAATTCTGAACTTACTTCTCTGTCTTGTGACTTAGCTGTTGTTCCCTGGAAATGCATCACGAGTGGGTGACAGCTGAGAGGAGAGCAGTGGTGGTTTAGTGACATGTTTGTGTCTCTAATCTTCCTAACTTCCCCTGCATCTGGCAGCTCGTGTTCAGCAGAGTCCTGGAGATGTTTCAAGCAGGAGCACTGGCAGAATGGCAGATGGATGGTGGCACAGACCTTTCCATATTGCGTCAGACTGTGAGCAATGAGCACTTGAGATGAGACTAAAGCAGCAAGCACTATTTTTTGAGCCCTGAAGAGTCACATTGAGCTCTAGCAACCTCTGAGCACTCACTCAGTTCAGCTATTCACAGCACCTGCTCACAATAACTTGCACTTGATAATCTAAGCAAGCAAACAAACATTTGGTTTTCAGGTGTCAAGTACCTTATTCCCTTCCAAAGAAGGGGTAGAAAGTGCTGACTCCTGGGTATGATCCAGAGACCTGTGTAGCTCTAGTTTTTTCCTCATTACTCATATAGGATTTTAATTTTCCAAAACAATTATTCTTTGGGAACTGCTTCAGCTTTCCTAAGGGTTAAGGCAGTGATGCTCTTGAGAGTGTTTTCAT